TAAATAAAACCTGAAATATGAAAGTAAGTCTCATTCAATTAAAACAAAGTTTATTAACCCAATGTATTTACTTCACGTGAAAGGTTTGCAAAACAGTATGGTATGAAGAACTCATATGTCCTTCAATGTCACACTTTGTTCTCTGTATGAGTCATTGGTCCCCATTGCTACAAGAACCCAAGGCCTGGGAGAGAATAACAAAGTATCTGCTGAAATTTCCCGTTTTATTCTAGCTAGGATACAGTTTTATTTTTAATACTTGAAAGACATGAATAGAGATGTATACGCCAGGCTTCCTGAGGAAGAGATGTTAGATTTGATTACAAACACCTGTGAATGTTAAACATTCTGTGAAATTTATGCAAGTATCATTTCCCTGGATCAAAGCTCTATTGATTTGATGCCCTTTACATATTTATATACTTATTGATAAACATCTAACTGCTATTTCTCACAAGTTCATGAGCTGAAATCAGGCTACTTATTAGTCCGGTTCAGAGGTTTATGTATGCATGCTATGTTACTGCCATGTGTATGTATTCATCCTAGTACTGCTTCACTACTTTTCTTTGCTAAAAGGCACAGAAAGGGCAATTTCAGACTACAATTGTAATCTGTCAGTGAATTGCTAATGCTATTAATTAAATAAAAAGTCATTCAGTGTAGCTTAGGGTGTGGTTACCATTAGAGATGAGCGAATCGAACTTGGTGAAGTGGAATTCGTTTAGAATATTAGGAAAATTTTGATTCGCGCCGAATCCGAAAATTAGCAGACTTCGGATGCGCGAATCGAAATTTTTCCAAAAATGGCGGCGACATGTGTGGCGACGGAGCGGGGATCTGTGGGAAGGCGTGCAGACAAGGCGCACTGACCCATAATGCATTCATTCATGACATGTGATCGCATTAGCCAATCAGCAGCCAGCCAGCAGCACTGTGTAATGGTCGAGCTATAAATTGTGGCCATTTTAGAATTCTCCATTAGCCTCCAGTCATTCAAGAGAGACAGACCACCTGTCTGTATTGAGGGACAGAGTTAGGGCCACAGAATCGTTACTTAGGGACACAGAACCGTTACTTAGGGACACAGAACCGTTACTTAGGGACACAGAACCGTTACTTAGGGACACACAATCGTTACTTAGGGACACAGAACCGTTACTTAGGGACACAGAACCGTTACGTAGGGACACAGAACCGTTACTTAGGGACACAGAATTGTTACTCAGGGACAGACACAGAATTGTTACTGAGGGACAGACACAGAATTGTTACTCAGGGACAGACACAGAATTGTTACTGAGGGACACAGAATTGTTACTGAGGGACACAGAATTGTTACTGAGGGACACAGAATTGTTACTGAGGGACACAGAATTGTTACTCAGGGACAGACACAGAATGTTACTGAGGGACACAGAATTGTTACTGGGGACACAGAATTGTTACTGAGGGACACAGAATTGTTACTGAGGGACAGACACAGAATTGTTACTCAGGGACAGACAGAATTGTTACTCAGGGACAGACACAGAATTGTTACTCAGGGACAGACACAGAATTGTTACTCAGGGACAGACACAGAATTTTTACTGAGGGACACAGAATTGTTACTGAGGGACACAGAATTGTTACTGAGGGACACAGAATTGTTACTCAGGGACAGACACAGAATTGTTACTCAGGGACAGACACAGAATTGTTACTGAGGGACACAGAATTGTTACTGAGGGACACAGAATTGTTACTCAGGGACACAGAATTGTTACTGAGGGACACAGAATTGTTACTCAGGGACAGACACAGAATTGTTACTGAGGGACACAGAATTGTTACTGAGGGACACAGAATTGAACAGAATTGTTACTCAGGGACACAGAATTGTTACTCAGGGACACAGAATTGTTACTCAGGGACAGACACAGAATTGTTACTGAGGGACACAGAATTGTTACTGAGGGACACAGAATTGTTACTCAGGGACAGACACAGAATTGTTACTGAGGGACACAGAATTGTTACTGAGGGACACAGAATTGTTACTCAGGGACACAGAATTGTTACTCAGGGACACAGAATTGTTACTCAGGGACACAGAATTTTTACTGAGAATTGTTACTGAGGGACACAGAATTGTTACTCAGGGAATTGTTACAGACACAGAATTGTTACTGAGGGACACAGAATTGTTACTGAGGGACACAGAATTGTTACTCAGGGACACAGAATTGTTACTCAGGGACACAGAATTGTTACTCAGGGACAGACACAGAATTGTTACTGAGGGACACAGAATTGTTACTGAGGGACACAGAATTGTTACTCAGGGACACAGAATTGTTACTCAGGGACAGACACAGAATTGTTACTCAGGGACACAGAATTGTTACTGAGGGACACAGAATTGTTACTCAGGGACACAGAATTGTTACTCAGGGACAGACACAGAATTGTTACTGAGGGACACAAAATTGTTACTGAGGGACACAGAATTGTTACTCAGGGACACAGAATTGTTACTGAGGGACACAGAATTGTTACTGAGGGACACAGAATTGTTACTCAGGGACACAGAATTGTTACTGAGGGACACAGAATTGTTACTGAGGGACACAGAATTGTTACTCAGGGACACAGAATTGTTACTGAGGGACACAGAATTGTTACTCAGGGACAGACACAGAATTTGTTACTGAGGGACACAGAATTGTTACTGAGGGACACAGAATTGTTACTGAGGGACACAGAATTGTTACTCAGGGGACACAGAATTGTTACTCAGGGACAGACACAGAATTGTTACTGAGGGACACAGAATTGTTACTCAGGGACACAGAATTGTTACTCAGGGACACAGAATTCTTACTGAGGGACACAGAATTGTTACTGAGGGACACAGAATTGTTACTCAGGGACACAGAATTGTTACTCAGGGACACAGAATTGTTACTCAGGGACACAGAATTGTTACTGAGGGACACAGAATTGTTACTCAGGGACACAGAATTGTTACTCAGGGACAGACACAGAATTGTTACTGAGGGACACAGAATTGTTACTGAGGGACACAGAATTGTTACTCAGGGACACAGAATTGTTACTCAGGGACACAGAATTGTTACTCAGGGACACAGACAGACACAGAATTGTTACTGAGGGACACAGAATTGTTACTCAGGGACACAGAATTGTTACTCAGGGACAGACACAGAATTGTTACTGAGGGACACAGAATTGTTACTCAGGGACACAGAATCGTTGAATTAAAGAGTATGTCAGACAACACGCAGAGGAGTGGCAGAGGAGGCAATGTTTTAGGAGCGAGCAGACGTGGCAGCAGAGGAAGGGGTCGAGGCAGCACTAGTCGCAGCCAGAGGCCAGTGCTCCCGGTGTCATCCAGCGGTCGTGTCTCCACCGACAACCCTGCCGTCATCAATTGGTTGGCTCGGCGTCTTCCTCTTCCCAGGTCACCTCTGACACCTACAGCCAATGGTTCGCTGGGTACGTCAGACACAACCGTTAGTTGGCATGGCCCGGGAGCAAGCCCACTGAAATCACGTGTCCTCTACCTGCCCCTGTCCTTTGGTGTTCCCTCACCAAGCGAAGTATCGCATGCTGTGGGCTCAGCCCCACTGTACAGTGAGGAAGAGCTAACAGAGGGTGGTCAGGAACGGGGGGAGACATCCGCCTCTTCAGCAGCCAGGCGAAGAAGTACTGGCGAGGAGAGTGGCTCGGTAGCCGGTCTAGAGACAGGTCTGTCTCCTGACCCACACGCAGCCGAGGGGGCTAGTAGTGAGGCGGAGACCCTAATTGATGATGATGAGGCTGATCGCACTTGGCAGCCTCGTCGTCATCAGGCTATTGCTTCCGCATCATCAGGAGAAGAGGGTGCCAGCTTGGCAGCGAGCAAAACAGTCGGTGGGTTGCCCAGGAGGCAGCAGGGTCGCAGCAGTGTCAGTGGAGGCAAACGGCCACGGAGTACAGCACCAGCTCTACTGCAGCCTACCACCACGGCCAGTAGTGGTGCCGTGTGCACGGAGGAAGTAGCAGTCAGCCAGTGAGGAGTAGCGGGGGCAAAGTTTCCTACTCGGCAGTGTGGCAATTTTTTGTCAAGCCGCCCGAGGAAGTAAACGTAGCCGTATGTCGACTATGTGGCCAGAAAGTCAAGCGTGGCCAGGGGGCCCATGTTGGGACTACAGCGTTGCGTCAGCATATGCAGCGTCGCCATTTGGTGGCCTGGGAAAACCGTGATAAAGATACGGCGGTTCTGCCCGTAATCTGCCTGCCTCCTCATGCTGCTGCCAGGTCCAGAGTGTCTCATGGGTCCCTGTATGGCCTCCCATTGCTGCTGTCTCCATCGCCACACTCTGCCATGTGCCACTTTCAGGTCTCCTCACACTGCTGGTGTGTTCCATTTTGTCATAGGGTGCTGGCAGATTACGGGCCTCCCATTGCTGCTGCCAGGCCCGTAATCTGCCATGGGCCCCTGTACCGCCTCCTCATGCTGCTGCCAGGTCCAGAGTCTCTCATGGGTCCCTGTACGGCCTCCCATTGCTGCTGTCTCCATCGCCACACTCTGCCATGTGCCACTTTCAGGTCTCCTCACACTGCTGGTGTGTTCCATTTTGTCATAGGGTGCTGGCAGATTACGGGCCTCCCATTGCTGCTGCCAGGCCCGTAATCTGCCATGGGCCCCCGTACCGCCTCCTTCATGCTGCTGCCAGGTCCAGAGTCTCTCATGGGTCCCTGTACGGCCTCCCATTGCTGCTGTCTCCATCGCCACACTCTGCCATGTTCCACTTTCAGGTCTCCTCACACTGCTGGTGTGTTCCATTTTTTCATAGGGTGCTGGCAGATTACGGGCCTCCCATTGCTGCTGCCAGGCCCGTAATCTGCCATGGGCCCCCGTACCGCCTCCTCATGCTGCTGCCAGGTCCAGAGTCTCTCATGGGTCCCTGTACGGCCTCCCATTGCTGCTGTCTCCATCGCCACACTCTGCCATGTGCCACTTTCAGGTCTCCTCACACTGCTGGTGGGTTCCATTTTGTCATAGGGTGCTGGCAGATTACGGGCCTCCCATTGCTGCTGCCAGGCCCGTAATCTGCCATGGGCCCCTGTACCGCCTCCTCATGCTGCTGCCAGGTCCAGAGTCTCTCATGGGTCCCTGTACGGCCTCCCATTGCTGCTGTCTCCATCGCCACACTCTGCCATGTGCCACTTTCAGGTCTCCTCACACTGCTGGTGTGTTCCATTTTGTCATAGGGTGCTGGCAGATTACGGGCCTCCCACTGCTGCTGCCAGGCCCGTAATCTGCCATGGGCCCCCGTACCGCCTCCTCATGCTGCTGCCAGGTCCAGAGTCTCTCATGGGTCCCTGTACGGCCTCCCATTGCTGCTGTCTCCATCGCCACACTCTGCCATGTGCCACTTTCAGGTCTCCTCACACTGCTGGTGTGTTCCATTTTGTCATAGGGTGCTGGCAGATTACGGGCCTCCCATAGCTGCTGCCAGGCCCGTAATCTGCCATGGGCCCCCGTACCGCCTCCTCATGCTGCTGCCAGGTCCAGAGTCTCTCATGGGTCCCTGTACGGCCTCCCATTGCTGTTGTCTCCATCGCCACACTCTGCCATGTGCCACTTTCAGGTCTCCTCACACTGCTGGTGTGTTCCATTTTGTCATAGGGTGCTGGCAGATTACGGGCCTCCCATTGCTGCTGCCAGGCCCGTAATCTGCCATGGGCCCCCGTACCGCCTCCTCATGCTGCTGCCAGGTCCAGAGTCTCTCATGGGTCCCTGTACGGTCTCCCATTGCTGCTGTCTCCATCGCCACACTCTGCCATGTGCCACTTTCAGGTCTCCTCACACTGCTGGTGTGTTCCATTTTGTCATAGGGTGCTGGCAGATTACGGGCCTCCCATAGCTGCTGCCAGGCCCGTAATCTGCCATGGGCCCCCGTACCGCCTCCTCATGCTGCTGCCAGGTCCAGAGTCTCTCATGGGTCCCTGTACGGCCTCCCATTGCTGCTGTCTCCATCGCCACACTCTGCCATGTGCCACTTTCAGGTCTCCTCACACTGCTGGTGGGTTCCATTTTGTCATAGGGTGCTGTATGGCCTCCCATTGCTGCTGCCTCCACCGCCACACTGTGGCTCCACACTCTGGTTTTGGCCCCGTGACTGCCCAAATGAGTGAAGTGTGCGGTGATTCTAAGATCGACGGCACTCATCTGCATGTCATACTGACTGACAGTATTATTTCTCTTCCCCAGCAGACTCCAAGGGCATTTAAATTAAAGGTACAGTGTTCTGCACTAATATAAAGGCTCTCTGAAGCCTAGAAACACCCTTTTTATAAGTTAAATTCGCAGCGAATATATTCGCATCGAATCGAATTTATTCCTCGAATTCGCCGAATCAGCCGAATCGAATTTTTGAATACTTCGCTCATCTCTAGTTACCATCATCCCTATTTCCATAATAGAGAGAGTTGCACCTTACATTTTATGGGATTTTAAGGCAACCTTGGAGTATATACAAAGAAACCAACTGTTTAAAAGATCAACATTTTATTTAAACAAATTTCTTATTATTTGACCAATTAATACATATCGAGTACATAAATTATTAATGAATATTTTTATAATTAAATAAACCAACCATATAAAATACATGACTTACATAACCCCCACAAATGGTCAAAAGAAGATGCTTCACTGTGTTTAGAAGGTAAGTCTCCCAACTAACTGAGGCCATCTTTTGACGTGCAAGGACCATGGGTGACACATCAAAAATACTGTCATAACAGAATATAAATAGGTGTAATACTGTGTATGATAATATCTTCGAAGTATAACAAAGCATCAGATGTATATGAGTTTATAAAACAGCATGTCCTCTTATCCAATATTGGTGAGGACCAAAAGCTATAAAGATCATGGTAATATGTATCCTATTTAGTGGACACATAAACTAAAGGAGATACCTAAGTAAATTATAAAAATATTCCTTAATAATTGATTGTTGCCAATTATTGTTATAGAGTGGTATCTTTTCCTTGGGGAAGAATCTATGCTAATGTATTCAAAACACGTTGGACCCCAGGCTGAATATATCGGCAGTCAAATTTTGAGGTTGCAAGATGGAAATCACCTTTGGGGGGTACCACTGGATACATATTGAAATAATTTTGCGAAGTGAATGAGTTGTCTAAAATTGTTGTGTTTTTTATATTGGCTAATATGTATTGTTTACTCAACATGTAATAATTTGTCAGATAATAAGAAATTTGTTTAACAACTTGCCTACAGGGCACTTATACCCCTTTCCTGCCCAGGCCAATTTTCAGCTTTCAGCACTGTCAGATTTTGAATGACAATTGCGTGGTCATGCAACACTGTACCCATATGAAATTTTTATCATATAGAGCTTTCCTTAGGTGGTATTTAATCATCTCTGGTTCTTTTATTTTTTGCTAAACAAACCAAAAACCACTGAAAATTTTGAAAAATAAACATTTTTTCTTAGTTTTTGTTATAAAAGTTTGTAAATAAGTGATTTTTCTCCTTCACTGTTGTGCGTTATTGAGGCTGCAGTGATGGGCACTGATAGAATGCACTGATGGACACTGATAGCTGGAACTGATTGGCACTGATGAGGAGGCACTGGTAGGTGGCACTGATGGGCATTGACAGGCATCACTGATGGGCACTGAAAGGCAGCACTGATATATGACACTGATAGGTGGCACTGATAGGCAGCACTGACTGGCACTGATAGGCGGCGCTGACTGACACTGTTAGGTGGCACTGACTGGCACTGTTAGGTGGCACTGTTAGGCAGCACTTATAGGTGGCACTGACTGGCACTGATAGGTGACACTGAAAGGTTGCTCAGATGGACACTGATATGTGGCATTGATGTGCACTGGTAGGCACTGATATGTGGCATTGATGAGGCACTGATGGGCTCTGGCAGGTGGCTCTGGGCTGGAGAATCTGGAGGGAGAACACAGATCTCCAGTGAAGAGCTGACATGATCTCCTGAGTGTCATAAACTGTGAATGACCAGAGAATAGCTGAGATCCGTTGAATCGCAGCTATTCTCTGTGTCATAAACGGACACCTTAGTGACAGTAATAACATTTTGTACTAATATCTAAGTATTAAGCAGACAATAAACAGGTCAAAAACTGAATGAAAATTCTTGGTCATTCATTTTTTGCGCATTAGTGTAGCAGCTGCGACAAGTGGTTTTTGTGTCGTAATCAAATGTGCCTGATCCAACATGCTGGCTTTTGTTTGAAAAATTAAGTAAATGATGGCACAATCATATGCACAATTTTTGCCTTTCAATCAACAGAACGTTCAGTTTTCGACTCATCTATGGCCTACCTAAGAGTCTTGAAAGCTTAGCTGTAAAATATTTGCTTCTCAAACCTTGTTTCCTTTGAGGTTTGGATCTCACCAACTTGCCTGAAAATCACAAGCTTACTTCTAATGTTCACCTTTTTAAACCTCTCATGCAGTGCAGGTGTGGACACTGTCAGGGCATATTGGTGTTGGATGTCCATCCATATTTGAATACATTTGTAAAGAACATTCAGAGACGATGCTGTGCTAATGATTGTTGATTAAATAAAAGTATTTACTGTGATGATTTTATAATCAAATTATGGAGTTGATTTACTGAAGAAATAAAAGCTGATCACTTTAAAGTGTAACTAAAGGTAAAACGTTTTTTAGTTTTGGATAGAATGGAGAGACTAGAACATCTGTCAAGTTCTTATTGCTGTCTGTGCCCCCTGTTAGGGAGATTCACCTTTTCAATTTGTCTGATTTACCTTTATCAACGAGAGTGAAAGTGAAAGAAAGTATCACATTTTGGGGTGTCTCCAGAATAGGATTAGAGGGGAAATGCACTAGTTCTGCTAACAACATTTTTTTTTTTACTTTGGAATGATTTCCTCTCACTTCCGGTTTTGACTATGGGGCAGGAATTGAACAGAAATCTCCCAGTGGGACACAGCAAAAAAAAAAAAAAAAAAATAAAATGAGAGAGGTTATCTCCCTCCAAGACTCCTTGAAAAAAAAAAAAAAGTTTTACTATTAGTTCTGTCCTAAAGCAAGTGAATTGAATAATCCAAGCAAGACGAATAAACGGGGCTGTGCAGAGTCTTAATAATATAATAACTATGACTGGACTGTTGCAGCAGTTCACTTGAGAACTGTACATTTCAGAATGACCTGAGCAATTTCATTATTTTCAACATTAATACATTTATGCTATTTATTCTATTCAGCAATGAACAATTTTTATATACATTAAATATAGGATTATACTAAAAACAAACTTAAAAAACAGTAGTTTTATTCAAGCTATATCAGTGTCCTAAAATGGCTTGTAAATTTATACATTCTTTGTAGGTGACAAATTCCCAGCAGCTAAACTAAATATATACTTCTCAAAATTGTATTTTATTTAAGGACATGCAGGAAGCAAAAGCCTCTTGTTTAACAGAAGCTAAATAAAAGTTCAGACAGCTGCCATTAAGTATAATCTTCCCCCACCAGCTTTGGTGACATTCCATAATACACAGGAGCAAAGCACTGCATGTCACTGGTTCTCCTTGGTGGAATTGTAGCACTGTTATATGCAGCTGCCCATCTATTATTCTATTTATACAGCAGACCCTTGGCACCAGGCAGATCAGAAGCTGCTGCATACTTTTCGGTGATGTATTTGCATGATACATCGAGATCACATGTCAGCCTAGTCTACCAGACTTTCAGGAGATGAAAGAATATTAGTGAGTGCAGTGGCAAAATGACTGCCCTGTTAGGACCTCTTGCTATTATCATTCATTCTGTTAAAGGCTAGACTATTACTATCAATAGTCTAATATTCAAAAAATGCACCCAAAATAACTTTGGCATGCAGTTCCTGCTGTCACTATTTTTTGAGGTGGGGATAAATATAAAGTTTGATTAATTTAGCTGAGTCACTTAAGCTGCAGGGATGACGCTGTAACAGCTATCACCACTCGATCACTGTATATATATAGAAGCATATTAGCACATTGCTGTTTACACAACATGCTGTGATAGATAATCCTCAAATTCATTCTAACTAGGTCAATAAAGTAGATGATTTAATAACGTGAAGAGCAATATTCAAAGCTCAGTGAACAATATCATCCAATTAGAATGTATTTTTTACTGCCTTGACTAAATGCAAGAAAATAAAGTTCCACTGTCTGCTATAGATTACTGCGCTTAGTATAATTATTCAGCTGGTCATACAAATGACAGTCTGATTGTACAATCTCTAGATTTGCCATCATCTGTGTAGTAAGAGTGCTTTTTTGACTGGATTTAAATTGAATATAGTATACAGAGGACCCTTGACGCGGGACTGTGGCTTATGCATGTATTTGCAAATTGTGCAAACAAAACCCTCTGTTTTTAACGCATACTGTTAAACAGGGACAAATTGGTTGTTTTGCAAGCTGGCTGGTAAGTGTTGCTGGGAAATCGATTGCATCGCCCTTCCATGTTTTGCTGCTAAGGCGGATGTTGGGACATTTTTTTTGTAGTTGGCGGACCTACGCACTAGATGCCTTTGCTGTCATTTTGTGCACACGTTTGTACCTTTAAGGAAGGATGGGCTTCTCCAAGCCCTTGACCTATCCATCTACAGTTGTGACCAAAATATAGAAATTGAGTGTTTTGGGTTTGACATTGCTTTTGATCCATTTTTTTTTACATTAAAGAGGCACTTGTAGGTCAGACAAATGGAAATAACTAACAGCATTATCAGGACACAGGTACGTACAGCATCTTTTAGTTATAACAGCTTTTAAACTTTGACACAAGTGTCTTGCAGCGATCTACGGGTATCTTCGCCCATTCTTCATGGGCAAAGGCCTCCAGTTCAGTCACATTCTTAGGCTTGCGCACTGCAACTGCACTTTAAGTCCCACCAGAGGTTCTCAATCGTCCTGCGATGTCCAAAATGTTCCAGCTTTCCTCTGCAACCATGCTCTAGTGGAAGGAGGTATGCTTGGGATCATTGTCCTGTTGAAAGGTCCAACGTCTCCCAAGCCTCAGGTGTGTGACGGACTGCATCACGTTTCCATCCAATATCTCCTGGTACTGAAGAGAATTCTGGTACCTCCACGCTGAAGCTTCCCTGTACCTGCAGAAGCAAAACAGCCCCAAAGCATGATGTACTCCCCACCATGCTTCACAGTAGGCAAGGTGTTCTTTTCATCATAGGAAACATTTGATCCATGTTAGGTGCACAGGCTATATAGAGGACCAAGGGGGTTGGGAGTGACGCGGGCGTCTTACTCTGTTTTTACAAATCGTCACACGGGGACTCAAGCCAGCTCTGTTTTTAACGCAAACTGTTAGACAGGGCAAAATTGGTTGTTTCGCAAGCTGGCTGGTTAGTGTTGCTGGGAAATCTTTTGTTATAATACTTATACTGTATTTAAAAAAATAGATGTTACTATAAATATCCTAATCTATATTAATACAGTGTGAATTAAACAGAATTAGATTGAAGGTAGTAGTTTACATAATCCCAAATCTTGACAAAAAAGCTATTCTTTTAGTTCAGAGAATATATTACAGCATATAGCACAGTAATATGTTATGTGCCCTCGATCCCCTCATGTTTTGCATTGTATTGGTATTGTTCTGTCCCCCTTTGTAATGTACAGCGCTGAGCGAACCATTGGTGCTTTATAAATACTGTATAATAATAATGTGTATGTGTGTCCTATATGTTTGCAAAACTTTTGTATAATGACAGGTAATTATGCACTGTGTTTATACCCTATATCCATAAAATACACACAAATAAAACATAGGGGTTTATTGACTAAAGGCAAATAGACTTTACACTTTGCAAGGTGCAGTTGCACTCTGCAAATGCAGTTGCCCCAGAGCATAGTAAATGAGGCAAAGCTTCACTTTGCAAAGAATATGCAATCACATACAAGGAAAATTTAAAAAACCTGTATTTTTGCTTGCACATGATTGGATGATGGAAATCAGCAAAGCTTTTGCTCATTCACTAAGCCCTAAAGCAACTGCACTTTGCAAAATCTTCAGTAAATTAACCACATAGTTGGCAAAGGAAACAAGTATTAAATTATCTGCTATAATTTGTGATATGCTACAAAGAATATATTTTATTTGCATTTACATAAAGATGAAAAACATTCTTCCTATGTTTAAAGGTTGGATTCTAAAAAAATGGCAGTATGTGAGCCATTTAAAGTAGATCTAAACCCAATAACAAAAATGCCTAACATGTTAATGTAATTGCAAAAGTAGTTTTCAATCATTTTCAATATGTAGCCTTTTTTTAAAGACAAAGTATCTCCAGAGGCTGAAAATCCTTGTTAGATACACATAGTACTTGACTATAGTAACTGTGGCACAGTTTTGAACTAGGCCAACACCTTTCCCCTTCCCCCCACTGCTATCCGACCATGCTGCAAGATTAGCTAGTTAGGACTGACAACACACACATAGGGGAGGTGGCACAACGGAGAGTTTGCAGTCCTCTGAGAGCTGAACATCTGCAGACCTCCATCAAATCTTTTAGCCCCTTTCCTCCTGTTCTCTCCTCTGCCATCTTCTTTTCACTAAAAAGAAAGACCGAGCCCAGACCTGCCTGCCAGCTATTCAGGGGAGAGTAGTAGCTGTTATCTTGTGTTGTTTGAATGAGGGCAAACCGGCGATGAGTGCCATCTTTCACTAAAACACAAATCCACAATAACAAAAGCTAGCTACCAGTATCTATCTCCTGAATAACTAATGGGTATGTCTGGGCTTAGTTGTTTAAGAGAGACTAGTGGTGGCTGGCTCGTGTTGTGCGCTTTTAGTTTTGTGAATGGTAGTTTTCCAGCATGCCATCATTCACAAAAAGACAAGCTGATAGCTATTACAGTAGTCTCTCTCTCTGTAGTTCTGAATAGCTGGTGGCAGATAATAGGGTCTGGACTTAGTCTAGCCTTCCATACAATGAAATAGTTTCCGTACAAAGAAGTGCTTTAGAATCAAGAGGTGGAGGTGGCTTTAGTTCTGACTGAAGTTTCCCGATAAGAACACCCTTTGGGCTTAAGCCTGGGTGGAGCTACAACCAGCACAGCGAAAAAAGAGATTGTAATTAAAAAGCAAGTGCAAAACTCTGGGAGGAGATGGACTCCCAATTGAAATTTATAAACAATACTGAGAGACCCTTCACCCCGCATGCCTCCAAATTCCTAATGAGGCATTTGACTCTGAATTGCTGTCTGAACTCAATGTATAAAGCCATCAAGTGGTATTTCCTAAGAAAATCCTATAACATCCTATATCTGTTCCCAGATGATGTCAAAGTGTTAGCTAAAGTCACTGCCATTAGGCTAAACAAGTTCATAGCGAATTCATCCAGATCAAACAGGCTTCATGCCCAAACTCTCCCCAGCTACCAATATCAGATGTGTTTTTTCTGTGCATGCCTGTAGACGATACTGGCAATACAGCCCTTCTATCTCGCAACACAGCCAAAGCATTCAACAGTATCGAATTAGAATACACCTGGGCAGTTCTTGACAAATTTGGATTTGATGTTAACTTCTGTACCTGGCAGTGCCTATTATTTACTCAACTCCTAGTCTCTATTCAAGCTTACTGTTTACTATCCCCTTACTTCCCATTATATTGTGCAACATGACTGGGATTTCCACTTTTGCCACTGCTGTTTGCAGTGGTAATAGAACCTCTAGCATGTTTACTGTGACAATCACATTAAGTAGTTGGCTTCCAGAGAGATCAAGAGGAGGAAAAAATAGCTTTTTACGCAGATGATATGCTCCTCTTCCTTTCAGATACCCATACATTCCTCCAGATTTTTGTGTCCCTAATTACTGAATTTTGTTTTGTTTTTTTATTGTCAACTGGCACAAGTCCATACTTATGCCCCTTATTGACCCCACTAGCTGATAATCTCTCACATATTAAGGTGGTCTCTTGCATAAAATACAGTATCTGGGTATAATGATCATGCCCACGATTGCGGACTTTATTCCCCTTAATCTCCACTCTGTGCTGTCCAGTTTTAGATCACGATGCACGACTTGGTGTAAATTACCCTTATCAGTGGTTGGGTAATTTAAAGTCATAAATTACATTTTTATTTATCTCATTTGGAGGAGAAGCACACCTAGAATTAAAGTAGAGATATTTAAACACTGCAGGAACTCAGGAGACCCTGAGTTCCAAACCCATGGGTATATTTCATTGCCTCACATAACCAATTTATACTTGGTTTGCTCCTATCTGGTTGTCAGGAAAGTCATGCTCAAGCCCATGCCCATTCTCAAAGGAATGCTGGTGTTCAAACGATTTCCTGTGCTCAAAAAAATGCACATGCATGCATAACAGTCTATAGAACATACTTCCGCACATGCTCGTGTGCATGAGCATTAAAAGTCTGCATGTGCTCATTTGCATGAGCATGATTGTTTGATGGACTTTGGCACCCAGTGGCTTTTTAAAGACTCAGGTTCATCGCTGAGTGGTCGTAAGCTCTTTCTGCTTGTGACCTGATCACCTGTATCCAGGGATGGACTGACAACTCATGGGGCCCCCGGGCAATAGGGGATCATGGGGCCCCTGTGTCCTTGCCCAAACTCACAAAAGCCTATGAAAAAGGTACCAGGAGCATCTCATGGGGCCCCCTACTGACCCTGGGCCCTCGGGCAGTGCCCAAGTTTCCAAATGGTCAGTCCGCCCCTGCCTGTATCCCAACCTGGCTTGTTGATCCTGCTTGTTCCTGAACCTCTGTTGCTGTCACTGGCATGTGACATGACCTTGCTTCCTGCCTGCTGTTCCTGTACTTCTTGGGCTTGCTAAATGCTTACCTTAGCCTGGCTTCGACTCTGCTCATGTTTCCTGACTCTGTACTGCTGCTGCCCAGTTGTTGCCGACCTCTGCCTATCTGACTACGCATCCAAGATCCAGTAACTGCCTGCTGCCAACTGGTCTGCTTCAGCTCTGCATTTACTACCAAAATATTCCAAACCAGATCTTTTACAGGCACCTGTGCTACTCTGTGCCCTGTTATACCCTGTCATCATCCCTAGGGGAAACAGGACGAGAGATGTAAGGGCAGCCCTCTAGTCAACTCGGCCTTGACCAGGTACGTGATATTGGTAAAATGAATCTCTCCAAAAGCTTACAAAATTAAACGGCTTTTAATGATGCATTAAAGCGTGTATACTTTTGATTCCCCATCTATGTGTAAATCAGACCTTTACGTCCTTCCAACAGCTGCAAACAGAATTAAACTTGTATGTACTCATAAAAGTTAAACGCGAACTTAATTCAACTCAATTCTTTCAACTCTGACATGCTTTAATGGTACAAAATGTTACTCTTTCCCTCTCCGTTTCTGATACTCACAATTTTATCTAATTGTTAAGGCTGAGGATTTTAAAGAACTTCCCTATAAACTGTTGCTTGATATTTCACACCCATGTAGGGGCAAATAAGGATTAGATATTGGCCCAATACCTGATGGCACATGGGAGGAGATACTAGAAACAGCCTCCCAAAGTAACATAATCCATCTCCTATGGCAATGCCCTAAACTTAAAAGATACTGATCCAATATTTTCAATCCTAATAATAATGTGACGGGTATCACCCTGAATGGCAAGCCTATTGCCTGAATTTTATGCAGCTTTGATTCTCTTTTGGTGAATTTGCATCACTGGTGATCTCTAGATCACTGTTTGTTGTGCATAGACTGTTAGCTGTCAAATGGGTCCAGGGGCGGACTGACCATTTGAGCACTCGGGGCCCGGGGTCAGTAGCGGGCCCCATGAAATGCCCCTGGTACCTTTTATAGGCTTTTTTGGGTGTGCTTTGAGCGTGGGGAAGGACACAGGGGCCCCATGATCCCCTATTGCCCCATGAGTTATCAGTCCACCCCTAAACGGGTCTTTGTGTTATCCCCTACCATGACAGATTCCTTTCAAGAACTTAATAGGTGCACAATGTTTGAGCTATTAACTTACTTTCTGCAGAATGCTACATGAACATATCTGGTCATGTTGGCTAGCTAAATTGATTCTATACGCTTCTTAGAATGACAAAACGTGGGTTTAATTACCCTATGGGTTTGATCCTCTAGACCTATACCTTGATTTTGTAAACTGGGTAACCCTATCAGGCAGGCTGTGATGTTATGTAACCTCTTACTGCTTATGTCATGACCTAAAGATGTACTGGACTCAGGGGAGGACTGACCATTTGGAAACTCGGGCACTGCCCGATGGCCCGGGGTCAGTAGGGGGCCCCATGAGATGCCCCTGGTACCTTTTTCATAGGCTTTTTTGAGTTTGGGCAAGGACACAGGGGCCCCATGATCCCCTATTGCCCAGGAGCCCCATGAGTTGTCAGTCCGCCCCTGACTGGACTGCATTTGTCTGTAAATCATGTTTGACTTGTTGTGTTTCTGTACCTACTATATGTCAAAAACATTTACAAATAAAATCTGATTTAAAAAAGGCAAGTGCATGTAGAAACTGTAGGAGATCAGCAGCACTGAAATGCAGAAGAGAAAGAAGTAAAATTGTGAAGTCTTGCATTCCAATTATGGGTTTAATTTAAAATTAAAATCTAAATCAATTTTACCAGAAAAACTGAACTTTAATGTAAGTACTAAAAAACACTCTATACTGCAATGAATATACTGTAATTTAGCACAATTGTACTTTCCAGAAGTGCATGATATACAGCTACAACACATATAAAAAGTATCCCTCTAATTGTTATGCACTGCTCAAAAAAATTAAAGGAACACTTTGAAAACACATCAGATCTCAATGGGGAAAAATATCATGCTGGATATCTATACTGATATGGACTGGGTAATGTGTTAGGAATGTAAAGATGCCCCATCGTTTGATGGAAATGAAAATTATCAACCTACAGAGGACTGAATTCAAAGATACCCTAAAAATCAAAGCAGCAACTCAAAATGGTACTCAGTAGTTTGTATGGCCCCCACATGATAGTTGGGGCATGCTCCTAATAAGACGACAGATGGTGTCCTGGGGTATTTCCTCCCAGATCTGGTCCAAGGCATCACTGAGCTCCTGGACAGTCCGAAATACAACCTGGCAGAGTCAGATGGACCGAAAAATGAAATCCCAGAAATGTTCTATTGGAACTAGGTCAGGCGAACGTGGGAGCCATTTAATGCCATCAATTCCTGCATCCTCCAGGAACTGCCCGCATACTCTCGCCACATGAGGCCGGGCATTGTCATGCACCAGGAGGAACCCAGGATCCACTGCACCAGCATAGTGTCTGACAATGGGTCCAAGGATTTTATTCCAATACCTAATGACAGTCAGGTTGCCATTATCTAGTCTGTAGAGGTCTGTTCGTCCCTCCATGTATATGCCTCCCCAGACTATCACTGACCCACCACCAAAACGGTCATGCTGAATAATGTTACAGGCAGCATAATGTTCTCCACGGCTTCTCTAGAAAAAGCACAGGGCTCCAGTGGCAGACCTGCCAATTCTGGTATTCAGTGGCAAAAGCCAATTGAGCTCTATGGTGCTGGGCAGTGAGCACAGGGCCCATTAGAGGATGTCGGGCCCTAAAGCTACCATCATGAAGTCTGTTTCTGATTGTTTGGTCAGAGACATTCACACCAGTGGCCTGCTGGAGGTCATTTTGTAGGGTTCTGGCAGTGCTCATCCTGTTTCTCCTCGTATAAAGGAGCAGATACTGGTCCTGCTTATGGGTTAAGGACCCTCTACAGCCCTGTCCAGCTCTCCTCGAGTAACTGCCTGTCTCCTGCAGTCTCCTTTATGTTCTTGAGACTGTGCTGGGAAACACAGCAAACCTTCTGGCAATGACATGTATTGATGTGCCATCCTGGAGGAGTTGGACTGCCTGTGCAGCCTCTGTAGGGTCCAGGTATTGCCTCATGCCACCAGTAGTGACACTGACCCTAGCCAAATGCAAAACTAGTGAGAAAGAGTCAACAAAAAAATGTCAATGGCCTCCACCTGTAAAACCATTCCTGTTATGGGGGTCATCTCATTGTTGCCTATCTAGTGCGCCTGTTCCTAATTTCATTAACATAAAAGCAGCTGAAACTGATTAACAACCCCCTGCTACTTAACTGACCAGATCAATATCCCAGGAGTTTAATTTATTTGATGCTTTACTCTGATTAAAAAAGTGTTCCTTTAATTTTTTTGCGCAGTGTATAACAATGAAGTACTACAGTATCACGCTTATCCCTAACGCAAGTGGTCAGGTTCTACAGCTGGTTTCTGTGTTCTTCTCCTACAGCAGCACACTTTCCAAGACAAGCAGGCCTACTGGTACTCAGTTGCCCCAAGACTTATACACAATGCCCAGGCTGGGGCAGGCTGAAACTGAGAGACATTCAAACAAGTACTTGAGGTTGGCAGACAGAGTGGTTCAATTACAGTCCAGGTACAAGGTAGGCAAGGTTCAGAGTAGTCAGGGTTCAATCCAGGGTCAAAAGGCAGGCAGAGTTCAGACAATAGTCGATACCTGATCTGAGGTCATAAACGGGAATCCAAACAGCAGGACAGACAGATAGGGAGCTTGAACATGTATTACACACACTATCACAAGCATGAGACTGCAGGCTTGGCTGGCTTAAATCAGATTTGGTCTCAGTAACTGGCCACATCAATCACCTTGGAGGTGGACAGACAGGGAGAATGTATCACAGCCAAAACCAGGATGCTGGAATGAGATTGTGATAGAGCAGGAGTGCTACACTTTCCTGACAAGTACACAAGTTGTAACAATGGAAAAGCATCCTTTTTCATGAGAAGACTAAATGGGGGGGGGGGGGATTTACTAAAACTGATGCACATAGATCAGTTCCAGTCAATATATTATGCTATGTGTAGTGTCCACACAGAGAACCAGTCTTTTAAGAACATTATAACATGATTAAATGCCTATGCCACTTAAAGGTTCATGTTGTACAAACCCCACATCTCCTCTGATCTGTACCCTTTGGTCTTCATCACATTGCACTCTAAACAATGCAGTTAAAAACTCCCATAGTACAAGGTTTTCTAACTCACTTGCACCAGGGCTAAAACAGGAACAATATAAATATTTACTTTTTTACCTTGCAGCTCAGTTTTCTTTCATATCCTCTACTTCTAACTAAGGTTACACTTCATAGCAATGGAGGACATGTGAAAGAAAACTGAACATAAAGCTGTGGCATAAGGAGCTTTATATTATTACTGATGCAAAAGTGTGGATAAAATGTAATGCTATAAATAAAATGGAAATTTAAGATGTTATTATATTGTGGGAACCTTTTTATAGTATTTTTTGAATGTGGTGAAGACCAAAGATAATTTTTTATGACAGTCAGAACATCGTTTTTAGTCAATTGCTGATTAGTTGTTTTAGTTGTTTTGGAATTTTTTACTTTGCTTATTACTTTTTGCCTTTTTACAACACTAAGGGCTCACACTTTTGTGCCCAGATGCATTTCTGTATGCATGTTTCTGATTCATTCTGGTGTGTTTTTCATGCATTTTCAATGTATTCCAGTACGTTTTTTCCAAAGTTTCCTGATTTTTTTGCTTTAATACACTCTGGTGCATTTTTGATGCATTTTGCCACATTCCAGATACATTCCTTGCAGAAAAAATGCAGCATGTTCTATTTTTGTCGTCTGTTCTGGAACGCATTGCAGTGGTGTTAACTATACCACTGG